ATACACTACATACTGATATACACCTGAACATCAGCAGGTGAGGACTCTTTAATATTTGTTGATGGAGCTACAGAGCTGCTCTGACTTGAACTGACTATAAAGTATTATCGTGTATCGTCAGCGTATTGTTTACTCAAATAAAAGCAAAGTAAAAGTCCTGTTTTTATACTTAAGAAAATAAACGTACTTGTTATGCACAATGTAGTAAAAGTGGAATATTGGCCAGTGAATGCTGTTGAGTAGAAGTTTAAAGTAGTATATCATTAAAATATTCTTAGGTACAAGTACAAGTATCTCAGAGTAAATGTACTTCTTTACATTCCTCCACTGGATGAAACACATCCTGATTAAAGCGTGGGATATTTTCAGTTTCCTCTCGACAAGACGTTAAATCATAATCTGTCTTCAGCTGCTCTACATGTATCGTTTCTCCTCAGACCAAAGCCATTAAACACATCCTTCGTTTCGATGCTATCTCTTCATTGAGCATTAGTTGTTTTCCGGCTGCGGTAAACTCCCGCTGAAATCTCATGTGTGTTGCATACCAAAGAAAGCATTTTCCTCGGCTTGGTTCTGTCTGTGTTTCCTCACATGTCGGCTGGTTAAGGCGCTTATGACATGAAACCAAAACAACATCTGTTTTGCTCTGAGATGAAACAAACCCACAATGTGCCACTCCGGTTTCAGACTGAGTCCCGTCACCGCAGCGTAAACAGTGAGGCAATTCGTTAAACAAATATAACTCTAAACTCTTCCTGAGAAATACATCAGGCTCCAATGTGCATCTAGCAGCATGAGACCTGGGATTTAAGATGCCACACGTTTTGGTGGAAACATGAAAGCTGAATACATCTTACACACATCATCGTGCTCATATAGTTCTGGAAATGCAGCTCGGTTCATGTTTTTAATTGTACTCCAGACCTTCGTTTGTTCCTCAAGTTAAAGTTAATCAGCTGCCGCCATCAGATAAAGATCTTCCTCATGACCTGGTTTAGTGCTGTTGTTTTCAGAAGCAATCCCTAAATAATGTGTTGTTTGTCTGTATTCTACGGTGCAGATATAAAAACCCAAAGGTTCCACATGAAGAAACATCTTCAGCAACTTGACAGCACATGCAGCGTGGAGACCAGGGGACACTAAAGAGTGACGCACACAGCTGGGAGACCAGGGGACACTAAAGAGTGACGCACACAGCTGGAGACCAGGGGACACTAAAGAGTGACGCACACAGCTGGGAGACCAGGGGACACTAAAGAGTGACGCACACAGCTGGAGACCAGGGGACACTAAAGAGTGACGCACACAGCTGGGAGACCAGGGGACACTAAAGAGTGACGCACACAGCTGGGAGACCAGGGGACACTAAAGAGTGACGCACACAGCTGGAGACCAGGGGACACTAAAGAGTGACGCACACAGCTGGGAGACCAGGGGACACTAAAGAGTGACGCACACAGCTGGGAGACCAGGGGACACTAAAGAGTGACGCACACAGCTGGAGACCAGGGGACACTAAAGAGTGACGCACACAGCTGGGAGACCAGGGGACACTAAAGAGGGACGCACACAGCTGGAGACCAGGGGACACTAAAGAGTGACGCACACAGCTGGGAGACCAGGGGACACTAAAGAGTGACGCACACAGCTGGGAGACCAGGGGACACTAAAGAGTGACGCACACAGCTGGGAGACCAGGGGACACTAAAGAGTGACGCACACAGCTGGGAGACCAGGGGACACTAAAGAGTGACGCACACAGCTGGAGACCAGGGGACACTAAAGAGTGACGCACACAGCTGGGAGACCAGGGGACACTAAAGAGGGACGCACACAGCTGGAGACCAGGGGACACTAAAGAGTGACGCACACAGCTGGGAGACCAGGGGACACTAAAGAGTGACGCACACAGCTGGGAGACCAGGGGACACTAAAGAGTGACGCACACAGCTGGGAGACCAGGGGACACTAAAGAGTGACGCACACAGCTGGAGACCAGGGGACACTAAAGAGTGACGCACACAGCTGGGAGACCAGGGGACACTAAAGAGTGACGCACACAGCTGGGAGACCAGGGGACACTAAAGAGTGACGCACACAGCTGGAGACCAGGGGACCACTAAAGAGTGACGCACACAGCTGGGAGACCAGGGGACACTAAAGAGGGACGCACACAGCTGGAGACCAGGGGACACTAAAGAGTGACGCACACAGCTGGGAGACCAGGGGACACTAAAGAGTGACGCACACAGCTGGGAGACCAGGGGACACTAAAGAGTGACGCACACAGCTGGGAGACCAGGGGACACTAAAGAGTGACGCACACAGCTGGGAGACCAGGGGACACTAAAGAGTGACGCACACAGCTGGAGACCAGGGGACACTAAAGAGTGACGCACACAGCTGGGAGACCAGGGGACACTAAAGAGTGACGCACACAGCTGGGAGAGCAGGGGACACTAAAGAGTGATGCACACAGCTGGGAGACCAGGGGACACTAAAGAGGGACGCACACAGCTGGAGACCAGGGGACACTAAAGAGTGACGCACACAGCTGGGAGACCAGGGGACACTAAAGAGTGACGCACACAGCTGGGAGACCAGGGGACACTAAAGAGTGACGCACACAGCTGGGACAGCTTGGTGACGCTCAGGATCATAAAGCTGAACAACTGTCTCTGTTCAGAGTCAGTCGTCTCATAACTAAGTGTTTGTCAGAATATCTGAGAGGACCAGGTTAGCTACGTTAGCTAGCTAGCTCACAGCAGATCTGCAGCGACATCAGAAGGAGTCATGTGACCACACTGTTAAAATAAGACCATGAAGCATTTTAGGTAAGTTTCCAACAGCAGAGACAGTTGGCAGAGTTTCGTAACTGTAAGTATTGGTTTCTGGAAAGATACTCGAGAACTTCTCGTTTCTGAAGACACTGATGCTAATGTGCGTATACAAAAGGTTAGCTACGTTAGCTAGCTGTATCTTATTTTGCAGCAACAGAGCAAACAGACAGCAGAACAAACATCCTTACACACACTCTTTAACTCCCCTATTATTATTATTAAAAACCGTATTTCATTTTGTCTTAATGTACATTATTTAATTTCACATTCTGTTCTTGTTCATATCATATTCTATTCACATATAGACTTCTTGCACTATTTTTTATTTGTATTTTTGTATTTTATTATGTTGCATTGTGGGAGGAGCTCGGGTCAGAAGAAGCTGCTGAGCATCGGATGAGAACACCTTTGAATCTTGACCACGGTGCGTCTGACCAGGAGAGAGAACCTCACGTTAACCTTTGAGCTTTGGAAACCTGAGCAGAAACAGTATGAAGTCCAGTGTGCAATAGAGAACCGCAGTGACGCGTCCTAAAGCCAGGAAGTGAGTCAGCATTTCTCCACTTCCTGTTCCCTGGTCTCAGAGCCAATGGGATCTCTCCATAGGGTTTGGGAAAGTATCTGAACTAAGGTCTGTGGTTGAGACACATTGAAGAGACGGATCACGTTTTGTTCTAGGACATTAAATCATCAGCAGTGACCCCACTGTGATTTCTGAAGAGTTGACGTGTCTGAGAAACGATGGTTGTTACCAAGTGGCTGAATAGGACTACAGAAGTTGTCCAGGCCGTTGTACGTCATTACGCCGAACACGTGAACACTCCTCTGAGTTAGTTTCTGTTCTGCTTGAAAGCAAGTCCCTGCCTCCTGCAGACTGTTCAAACAAACGCTTCAACTCGTTCCATCTAGAATCTGTGTGTTTGAATCTGGATCTGAAGTTGGCGTGACGTTGAAGCAGCGACCCTGCTGTAGCTCCTTTATAGCATAACGTTAGCATTTAGCTTCTGGAGATTAGATTTATGATTAGAACATTATGAAAGTAGACGTGTGGAGATGATCCGGCTGAACAAAACGTGATCCGTCTCTTTAATGTGTCTCAACCACAGACCTGATTTCCAGCTAATTTCCAAAATCCTATGGAGAGATTGCATTGCGTTTTTGTTGAAGGAACCGGAAGGAGTTTACCTCCGGGTTTTAGGGCGCGTCACTGCGGCACTCTATGTGGATCCGTGTATACTTGGATCAGGATGTAAGGGCTGAAAGATAGAGACCGACTCATCTCATGCTGTTCCTCTGATTTCACGCTGTGATGCACGTCAGCGCGGAGCACAGTGTGTGTTTTGCACAGTGTGTGTTTTGCAGTGTGTGTTTTGCAGTGTGTGTTTTGCAGTGTGTGTGTTTTGCACAGTGTGTGTTTTGCAGTGTGTGTTTTGCAGTGTGTGTTTTGCACAGTGTGTGTTTTGCACAGTGTGTGTTTTGCAGTGTGTGTTTTGCAGTGTGGTGTTTTGCAGTGTGTGTTTGCACGTGTTGCAGTGTGTGTTTGCAGTGTGTGTTTTGCACAGTGTGTGTTTTGCAGTGTGTGTTTTGCACAGTGTGTGTTTTGCACAGTGTGTGTTTTGCACAGTGTGTGTTTTGCACAGTGTGTGTTTTGCACAGTGTGTGTTTTGCACAGTGTGTGTTTTGCACAGTGTGTGTTTTGCAGTGTGTGTTTTGCAGTGTGTGTTTTGCACAGTGTGTGTTTTGCACAGTGTGTGTTTTGCAGTGTGTGTTTTGCACAGTGTGTGTTTTGCAGTGTGTGTTTTGCACAGTGTGTGTTTTGCACAGTGTGTGTTTTGCACAGTGTGTGTTTTGCACAGTGTGTGTTTTGCACAGTGTGTGTTTTGCACAGTGTGTGTTTTGCAGTGTGTGTTTTGCACAGTGTGTGTTTTGCACAGTGTGTGTTTTGCAGTGTGTGTTTTGCACAGTGTGTGTTTTGCACAGTGTGTGTTTTGCAGTGTGTGTTTTGCAGTGTGTGTTTTGCAGTGTGTGTTTTGCAGTGTGTGTTTTGCAGTGTGTGTTTTGCACAGTGTGTGTTTTGCACAGTGTGTGTTTTGCAGTGTGTGTTTTGCACAGTGTGTGTTTTGCAGTGTGTGTTTTGCACAGTGTGTTTTGGACTCTTACCGAACTCGCTGGCGCACATATGTTCCAACATGGCGTCCGACTTCATCTCGTTGTCACATGGAGGGCAGATCGAAGAGAAGCCTGAGAGGAGACATGGAGGGTTACAGTCAGTGGGGAAGACGAGGATACATCCGTCCAATCGACTGCAGTTATTCACGTGGACTTTGGATCAGAATCAGAACACTTGATTTATTCTGGGTGGGAAATTAGTTTTTTTGACAGTTGCTCTATTTTAGAATTAAATAAATAACAAGATAAAATAAAAGGCAAAATCAAAATGTGCATGAAACAAATAATAGAGAATAGGAAATAAATCTATATTAACATCAGAAAGAAAAGTGTGAATTTGTAAAATAATATATAATATAAAATACAAATATTAATACAAACACAAGAAGTAAAATAAAGGACGAATACAGCAATTGGAGTAGTATAAATAAAATAAGTAAGAAATTGCAATAAGAACACTTAAATAGATTTAAAGTAAACAGAAAACAGACAATGTGAAATAAAATATTTATATATTTCATTTTCAAGTATTTTCTGGACACCCATGCTTGATTTATTTTGTATTTTGTTATTCGTCCATTCAAGAATATTTAGGGTTTGGGGGACGCCAGCTGATACAGACATAGTGGCAGTGGCTCAGTCAGTAGGGACTGGGAGCCGTAGGGTCGCCGGTTCAAGTCCCCGACCAGACCAAAAGATGGAGTGTGGACTGCTACTTAGAGAGGTCCCAGTTCACCTCCTTGGCCCTGCCGTGGTGCCCTTGAGCAAGGCACCGGACACCTCCCTTCCCCCCCACTCCCATTGCTCCCCGGGCACTGTACAATAGCTGCCTTAATGTGTGCATGTGTGACCACCTTTCGATATAATATGAGTTTTGCACAGTTGGATAATTGCACAAATGTGGATTTAAACTCATTTTTTAATGAAAGTGTGCTTCCTGCAGATGTGCTGAGTGACGGTGTCTCGCTCTGATGACATCACTCAGGAATGTCTGCAGTTTGTATTAACCAGCTGTAACGGAGAGATCCTTTAACACAGCGCTCAGAAAGGACATTTCAATAAAACTCGTATACACCTCACAAAAAGCACTGCCAACGTGCATGGGAATCACATTCAAAGGAATGCTCTGACATTCCCAGATAAAAAACAAATACATCGTAATATTATTATAACAGACCTCCTGAAGACAACGTGTGTGTTTGCCAGAGAGTCATTCACTCGATTATCTGCTGATATTTAACTGACAACATTTTTCAAATGATCACTCCGTGCCAAACAGCTGACTCTACTTGAGGAGGAGGAGGAGGAGGAGGAGGAGGAGGAGGAGAGGAGAGGAGGAGGAGGAGGAGGAGGAGGAGGAGGAGGAGGAGGAGGAGGAGGAGGAGGAGATTCAGAAACTTTGGTTCTTAAAACAGATAAAGTAATTATCGTAGGTGACTTTAATATTCATGTTGACGATGATAAAAATAGCCTTACTGTTGCATTTAACTCTATATTAGATTATGTTGGTTTCTGTCAGAGTGTAAATAACCCAACCCACTGCTATAATCACACTCTCGACCTTGTTCTGACTTATGGTATTGAAATTGAGCAAACTATTAGTCCGAACCGCATAATCCTGCTTTATCCGACCATTTCTTTAGTAACTTTGAAGTACTGTTACGAGACTACAAAGCATTAGTCAAAAGGCTCCTGCAGCAGAAAACCTATCTGTTAGTGCTATAGCCAAATTTAAGGAAGAGATTCCACCAATACTTAACTCGATAGCATGTCTGCATGTAGGGGAGGAAACTTATACAAAATGTACACCACCCCAAATTGATCATGTTGTTGATGGTGCTACAGATGCGCTGCGAATAAAATTAGACTCTGTTGCTCCTTTGAAAAAGAAGAAAATAAAACAACATAGATTAGCTCCATGGCATAATGCCGAAACCCGCAAAATAAAGCAAAAGTCGAGACAACTTGAAAGGATATGGCGTTCCACTTCTAATATTACACTAGATAGTAAACTAGAATGCTTTTCAGCCATAAACCTTGAACAATTAAATTCAATGATTCTCTCTTCTAAACCATCAAAGTGTATGTTAGACCCAATTCCAACTAAGCTGTTGAAGGAAGTTTTTCCATTAATTAGCACTTATTTATTAAATATTATGAATATGTCTTTATTATCAGGCTATGTTCCACAATCATTCAAAGTAGCAGTGATAAAACCGCTTCTTAAAAAGCATAACCTCGATCCAGAGGTTTTAGCCAACTATAGACCTATTTCTAATCTTCCGTTCCTCTCAAATTCTTGAGAAAGCGGTCGCAAAACAGTTGTGTGATTACTTAAAAAACAATGATTTATTTGAAGCTTTTCAGTCTGGCTTTAGAACACATCATAGCACAGAGACAGCTCTGGTTAAAGTCACAAATGACATTCTAATAGCCTCTGACAAGGGACGTGTCTCTATTCTTGTTTTGCTCGATCTCAGTGCTGCATTTGATACTATCGACCATGATATCTTATTGCAAAGACTAGAGCACTTAGTTGGCATACAGGGAACTGCTTTAGACTGGTTTAGGTCCTATCTATCTGAACGCTCTCAGTTTGTACGTGTCAATGATGAATCTTCCACGCAAACCAAAGTTAGCCATGGAGTGCCACAGGGCTCAGTGCTCGGACCTATTTTGTTCACATTATATATGCTTCCGCTAGGCAATATTATAAGGAATCATTCTGTACATTTCCACTGTTATGCGGATGATACTCAACTATATTTATCAATCAAGCCTGATGAAATTAATCATCTAAATAAAATTCAAGACTGCCTCAAGGACTTAAAAACGTGGATGACTTTGAACTTTTTGATGTTAAACACGGCTAAAAAGTTATTGTACTTGGCCCGAAGAATCTACGAAACAAATTATCTAAAGATACACTAACTATGGATGGCATTAATTTGGCCTCCAGTGAGACTGTAAGGAATCTTGGTGTTATATTTGATCAGGATTTATCCTTTAACGCCCACATAAAATCAATTTCAAGGACCGCCTACTTCCATCTACGTAACATTGCAAAAATCAGGCATATCTTGCCTCAAAACGATGCAGAGAAACTAGTCCATGCATTTGTTACTTCAAGGCTGGATTATTGTAACTCCTTATTATCAGGGTGTACCAAGAAGTCAGTCAAGTCGCTTCAGCTGATTCAAAATGCTGCAGCTCGTGTACTAACCAGAGTTAGGACAAGGGACCACATTACTCCTGTTCTGGCTGCCTTACACTGGCTCCCTATAGAACACAGGATATCATTTAAAATTCTTCTTCTCGCCTACAAAGCCCTTAATGGGCAGGCGCCATCTTACCTTAAAGAACTCATTATACCCTACTGTCCTACTAGGGCATTGCGTTCCAAGAATGCAGGGTTGTTGGTTGTTCCTAGAGTCTCTAAAAGTACAATGGGAGCCAGAGCCTTTTCTTATCAAGCTCCACATTTGTGGAATCAGCTTCCAGTTTGTGTTCGGGCGGCAGACACCCTATCCGTTTTTAAGAGTGCGCTTAAGACCTTCCTTTTTGATAAAGCTTATAGTGATCAAATAAAATAATCTAATAAGAGTGCATTATCGTAGATACGTTGTGCCTCTTCACCTATACATTTTAGTTCTTACTCTTTCACTTAAATCCTAAAAACTTAGATCTTATATTTAAAACTTTATCCAAACCTTTCCCCTCTCTGACCTCTCGAGGTTATTAGAGGGTAACAGGTTGCAGAGAAGGCCGAGCCCGGCCCGGGAGTGTGGAACGTAGCCACAGACCTACTCCTTACCTCTAACCAATTCAGGTTCCAGCGGGGACCTTTCTCCCTGCGTGTGCCTCTCCACCTCTGTTTCCTACTTCTTACTTGCTACCCTTTTCCCTTAACCTATCCTAAGGGAGTGCATGTATGTATACACGTTAGTTTAGCTGCTATAGGCTTGGACTGTTGGGGGGGGGGGCACCTTACTCTGTCTTTCTGGCTGTTTGTACCTGTGTACTCTCATGTTCCGATTAACCCAGCTTCCCCCAAATCTCTTTTTTGTGTCCATACATACGCCGGGATCCTGAGTCGAGGCTAATCCTGTTGCTGTGGTCGTGTGTCCTGGATCCTCTATCCTGAGCACTGGATCTGAGTCCTGGACTTCGAGTCGTGGCTGAACCTGTCTCTGCGGTCTTGCCAGACTCTCACTATACTACTTCCCTGTAGTAGTAGTAGTAGTAGTAGTAGTAGTAGTAGTAGTAGTAGTAGTAGTAGTAGTAGTAGTAGTAGTAGTAGTAGTAGTAGTAGTAGTAGTAGTAGTAGTAGTAGTAGTAGTAGTAGTAGTAGTAGTAGTAGTAGTAGTAGTAGTAGTAGTAGTAGTAGTAGTAGTAGTAGTAGTAGTAGTAGTAGTAGTAGGGGAGTCTCTCTCTCCGTCACCAGTTGTTCAGCGAGAACTCGTGAAAGTCACGGCTAGGTGTGAAGAGCTAATGAAAACAGAGACTGTTTAAAGAGTTCCTCCGCCTGCTGCTCCTTTAAATCAATTATCACTGTTAGCTGACCTCTATTAACATTCATTATAATCACTGTTAGCTCTATTAACCGTCACTAATGGTGGAAATACGGATACATAAATGTCAAAGTAATGGCAACGTTGCATCAAGATCTGATTCAAGAACTGTACAAGTTTACACCTTTTTTTGTAATATATTGGATAATTTTACAATTGTAGACCCTTTTACTGGTTTAATCTTAAGCCCGAAGGTCCCCGCCGGCGGGTAATTTAGTTTTTTTTTTTCACGACACTGGGGATCTTAATATTTAAGAACCTATTAATGTGTTATACCAGATTAACGGGAATAATCTCAGCTAACTGACGATACAAACCATTTTTACCCAAAAATCTTCAATGGCATTAAAACGATAAAAACGATGGTGTAGTTAATCCATAGGTTCATAATCCAATGTGTCTGCGTCCCCTTTGAAATGTTCTGATAATCCATAAGCAATAAAACAGCTTTTCCGTTGCTTGATATCAGAGCAGCGATATTTCTCCCCTCTGCTGCAAGCT